GCACGCCAACCTGCAGGTCATTGGCGTGCGGCCCCGCACGCCAATTTTCGTTGGTGTGCAGGCACGCACGCCAATCCGCACCTGGCGTGCGGTTTGGCGTGCGCCAGGGGGGCTGGCGTGCGTTTATCAACGCCCCCCCACTACCTATCGCTGCAACTGAAGAGGATCCTCGGATTATCCCCCAATAATCCGAGGTCCATCGGTCTTCAGGGAATCAGGGCTAGGTTCCCTAATCCATCGCCAGTACATACAGCTTATTCAAGAGATGGAATCAAGGAGAAGAATCGAGAAAAAGGACGAAAGGAAGAGAGACTAGTGCTTGAAGCAGGTAAGAGAAACTGGAAACAGATTCATGAAAAAAGAAGCTAGAGTAGGACATATAAAAGAAGAAAAAGGAAGAGAAGTGTGTAAATCCTTAGGTGTGGTCGTCCTCCGGGATGTATCTCCTGATGTTTGGAAAGCGGTTGGTTGCCAGTATGTAATTTGACACCTCTGTCATCGCATTGGGATTATCCATTATTGATCGGAAAGAGTCCGTGTTCGCCCCACACTTTGATCGTTTCAGATTTCGTTTGAGAGTAGCTCGGGCATTTTTGTACCTGTCACAAAACATCAAGAAGTGGGCCGCGTTCTCTTGAACAAAACAGTTAGTACATCTTGGATCCAGTATGGTTTTTATTTTGAACAGAAAATTATTAAGTGGGGCGTGATCCGCCCTGAGTTGAAAGATCGTGGCTGCTAATCCTTTTTCCTGTTGATCTAAAGCTTGCACCAGCTTTTTGCAATCCTTACGGTAAGTAAAACGGTGTAAGTCCTCTTCCGTCCATTCTTCAGGGGATTTTAATTGGCTTCTGGTGAGTTGTCTTAATTTGGCCAGACTCTTTCCGACTGTCAATGGCAGAGAGGTGATGTCATGCGTGGTCAAATTGCCTTCAGCTGCTGTCTTTGCGAGGGTGTCGGCGATTTCGTTGGCCTTGATTCCCTCATGGCCTGGGCACCAATAGAGCCTTATCTGGCGACCTAAAAGCTTCATACAAAAGAAGTTGTCAATGTAAAGGTGTTGCCCCGAGGATCGGGACATCGGATCAGCTGAGAGCAATAGCGCCCCCTGGTTGTCGCAGAAGATGGCTACCGCCTCTATTTCCCGAGCGTGATCAGCCGTTATGATTTTCTCAGCCAGAGTAATGGCAAGTTTAATTCCTATTAACTCAGCTTCAAAATTAGAAATGGAGTCAGCAGGACAAATGGAAGTTGCGAGATGTGTTCCCGCAGGATGGGCTACTGCCGCTGCACCCGCCCCTTTTTCAGGTATCCAGGACCCATCAGTGAAGATAACCAAGGTCTGGTTTCGTAATTCTTGATTTAGCTGCTGCGGGATGCGTTGGATTACATCTTCACGTTTATCGTTCAGGTTTTGCACCTCCGCAATCGGTTCTATCCAGGGTGGGGCCGGCATTGGAAGGATGGTTTCTATCTGATTAACTGGAAAAGTAAACGAACTGTTAGGCATCAGGATTTGGTGTACGGGACTAGGATGAGGAGGTGTTTTGTCAGTTAGTTCTTTCTGAAGAATGTGTAGTACAGGATGAGGGGATGGGTAAGACAACGATCGTAGGATATAGAAATGGGAGTTTCGAAGGTGTATTTCCAACGGGGTCAGTAACCCGCTGCTTTTCCTGACAAAGGGGAGGGGGGTTTGTCTGAAAAGACCTGTTATCAGTCTGCAAGCTTGGTTGTACAATCCTTCTAGTGTGTGTGCCACCGACTTGGCATTCTTTTTGGTGTACCAAATTATACTGCCAAAAAGTATCCGTGAGTAGAATACCGAAATCACTAATCGTCTTGCTAAACCTGTGTTTAAACCGTATGTTGATTTGATTATCCTTTCCAGTTGCATTAAGGTGAGGTCACCTGTCGTCTTGACTTTCCTCAGGTGTTCCGAGAAGGTGAGACGTTGGTCAAGGATGATACCTAACCATCGGGTAGTCTTCTGGAAATTGTGAGTATATCCATCGAACACAAAGGGTGGGGGTGCTAGATTCTTGCAAGAGAAAAACATTAGTACAGCTTTCTTAGGATCGAAAATGGCGCCAAATTTTCGGCCCCAGTCTAGGGAGCGGGAGGCCTCTTCCTGCAACAGCTTCAGTGTTAGTTCCATTGATTCTGCAGCCACTAAGTGTACTATATCATCGACATATCCAATGGAGATCTTATTGTCCTCCAGAGAACAGTTGTTGTTCATCAGAAGACTGCTGTTATAGAGTATGTAAAGGGTGACAGATAGAGGAGAGCCCTGTGGCAAGCCCTCCTTGACAGGAAATGGAGAGGATAAGTAATCGCCCATTCGGATGGAGGTGGATCTTTCGGCCAGAAAAGAGGAGATGATGGAAATTAGGTATTGTGGGCAAGAGAGTTGATGAAGTCGATCCACGAGACGGGTTGCGTATACCGAGGGGTAGGCGGATTTCACATCCAGGAATATCCCGGCTACTATTTTGCCTTTCCTCCATTGGTGTTTCACCCATGAGGTGAAAACCACAAGGGCGTCAACCAGATTTCGGCCTCTTCTTCCGCCCATATGACCTTGGGGGAGAATTCTCTTAGACTCGATCCAGTGAATCAAACGCTCATTGAGGACTTTCTCAAAGAGTTTGCCTAGTGTGCAAAGAAGCGCGATTGGGCGGTAGGCATTAGGATCGCTGTAGTCAGCTTTCCCTGCCTTACGAATGATAGCCGTCACAGCGGTCTTCCATTCTCTAGGGAACTCTTAGCCTCTTGAATGCAGGGTGAGGGTCCTTTTCCTGCGGGGGGCTCTAACCCCGAGGGCGATGCTGCGGGCGGTAGCCCGGTTTCTAAATTCGGCGCGTTCCCTGGGGCTGCAAGGTTGGACGGCGGTTCCTGCCTCGTATCCGATGGACGTCCTCGCCGAAGACCCGTCGTACTCGACCTTCCTGCAAAGCTACCTGCTTCCCAACCGGCCGGTGCTGATCCGCTCGAAGCTGGCGTCGGAATGGCCGGCGAGTATCCTTTGGACTACGCCGGTTAGACAGGAGCTGAGCCGAGCCGAGGACCGGCGGGAAGACTTGACCGGACTTGTCCGGTCGTATGGCCATCTCGAGGTACCGGTGGTCAAGCAAAGGATTCAATCGTCCTCGTCTGATTTCCTGGACGACTTGGAGTCATTTCCGGACTGGGGTAAACGCATCACCAGTCAAGAGAATGACTGTATGCCTTTCAGCCAAGTAGCCGCGTATTGGGAAAAGAAACTAAGGGATCCGACCCGGCCCAATCATCAAGAAGGACAAGCAGTGCTTAATGATGAGGAAGTGATATACGTGAAAGACTGGCATTTGATACGAATCTGTCAGCAGACGAACGGGCCCGAAAACCTGGACGAAGAAAGACACTCAGAGAGACGCAATGCGACTCCATTTTATCAGGTGCCCGAGATATTTTTGGACGATTGGATGAACGAGTGCGTTGTTCGCTTCCCTCTTGATTATATCTTTGTCCTATGTGAATGGGATCGGATGGCCAACCTGATTTAATCCAGTTATTACTCCGCAGAAACAGATGATGATTTCAGATTTGTTTATATCGGCGAAAAGGGCACGACCACAGGACTGCATACGGATGTTTGTGAGCGGCGGCAGAACTTGTCCTCTATATGCCAAGCCATTCGACAGGCTTCAATTCGTCTTAACCGGACACCACCCACTCTTTACTTCCACAGATAACTCATACTCTTGGTCGGCGAACATTGTGGGCAAGAAGAAATGGAGACTTTTTAGACCAGAAAGCGATGAGAGTATCACCATCGAGCAGTCTCCCGGGGAAATCATCTTCGTGTAAGTGGCTTAAACTAATCTGCTTTTTCAAGTCAAACAATCTTCTTTCTTGTCACCCCATAAGTCGTGTCCATTAACGTGTAGTCGCCACTTCCATGACATAGACCGAGTGGATGGAAACATGAAGTCTTGAACCTCTCCCCTCTAGTCATCAGTATCAACCACAAGTAAGCAGACCCGTTCCATTATGTCTAGCCCCCTTCTACATAACATGCAATTTGAAAGCTTTTTGCCCCTGATTTTGAAAGTTGGTGCAACTCTGTAAACTTGCCGTCAGTTTATGACGCCTTGGCGAAGGACATCGAGGACGTGAAGGAATCAATCGCAGATGTCAAAGCCCTATTGAGGAAGAAGTGGGACAACCAACTTGCCGAAAGCTCGGGAGACCCTACCAGTTCAGGATGGGAGCACGAGTGGATTGAAGTTGTGCAAGAGCTAACCAAGCAGCACTCGGGCTGGAAGTGAGCTTTCCTCTAACAGTTCTGAATTTTTTACCAGTCAGCATTATTCTCTGTCATGACTGAGCATGTGTACTTTGGCCCTATCATTGCTAGTTGGGCGACGTTCTGGGGAATGGTCAAATTCATCACAATGCGTGATTTCACCGAAGCCTCAACATCGTCTCTCTTCGATCAACCCGTTCCCCAGCACTCCCCTCCGTTGCAGTTTGTCAAGACCCAGATTAACTTATGTGTCATGAAGTTCAAAATGCGAGACGAGTTCAACTTCGATGCGAAGTTGAGACTGATCATTCAAGACATCGAGTCCTGTCTTTCGATGCTCAAATGACGACTGACAAACAAAGGCTTCTATAAACGTATGTAAGCATGTATCTCGTCCAAGACAGACCATTAGATTATTGAAATTTCTATCCCTTGTTAAACACTTTTCATAACTGGAGATTTAAGGTGTCTGAAGCTTGACTCCGCCAAAACAGCAGACTATGCTCTATGACAGTCAACCCACACTTGCGCATCATCAGCCTGCGCCCTCCTTGGGCATAAGAGTGTGTGAGTAGCCCCAGGGTAAGGTGGCTTCCACGCTTAACTGCTTGGAGAGAGTTCCAAATTTGAAGAAGGCATTCTTGCAATGGCTGAGCAATTTATTGTCAGTGCTCCAAAACTGAGAGAAGAAACTACCAGTTTGGAATGGCATTATAAGCTCCAGCAACATCTTAATGTGTTTTTCATATGTATAAAAAGATAGCTTTGAATGTTCTCACTATTCAACACTTAACCCAAAAGTAGAACATGCTCCAAAGCTTGGCATTCATTGACAAATAATTGGAATCTTTGCATGTATTTGTATGCAAAAATATAATGGTAGAATAAGAATAAGGTACTAAGAATGTTTATGGAGCTTTTCAATATTTCCACAACAAGAAAAAGAATGTGGCTTGAGACAGAGGAAACAATTTCTTGTATCATGAACTCCATTCCCCAGACCTTGATGAATTGTGCAGTTGTAAGTTACAGAAGGCAATCCTTTCATCCACAAAGCTCACCGTTTCAGACACGCAAGCGCTGGTCCAGACTGTAGCTGACAACAAAACTTTGGCATACCTTTTACAGCAAGTGAAGTCTCTGCTGTCCAGCACCCATGTTCACCGGCCATCAAGGCGATGGGTGCTATGCCCGACCCGACAAACCATGGCGGAGACGCTGGGCGAGGGCCGCGGTTGGTGCACAAGTGTCAAGATGATGACCAAAGTTTGGCGGAAGCATCGGCCGCCAATCTTGATTGTTTCAAGTTCGGTGCTCGTAATGAGAGCATCATACTTCCGCCTGAATACGTAACTTCCTCCATGACCATCTGAGAGACACTCCATGGCCATGGGATCAATTGCGTTGGACGATTGCATCTGCCCCCCCCCCCTTCCCTTGCCCCCTCCGCTATGCACAGTCTATACAGACTCTAATGAAGCGCAGACGTTGACAGTTAGATCGAGAGGTGCATGGCCTCGCTTAAGCTCACTTCCTTCCGCTCTCTTCTCCCGATTCTCATGATGAGCTATCATCGCTAGTTGTCGGACTACAAGCTGTTACGGCAAAACGGGAACTCCGGCCCCCTAGTCGATGTCTCCCTGTTATGCAGCGTCCAAGAAGCCTTGACTTCTCACTTGAACAAAGCCATCCATACATCAAATGAACAAATGGTATGGTCGTGGCCGTTCGAATGCGAATTTTCCTTGATCTGTGACGAATGATATGTTCTAACTCCACTCTGAAAGTAAGGTCTGATTAAGGAGGTCAAAAGAACAGAGATCACAGTGCCGGGTGAGGGTGTGTGTGAGTGGAAAGCCAGAGCTTATCGCCAAAGGCTCGTCTGCGGCAAGGTGCGATACTTAATTTTCATTGAGATCTGATGAGGGACATCCAATGGAGACAGCACTCAGCAGAATTTTCGAGCTGCGCTGAAGTCTTCAGCTGTGAAACAAAAAAACGAGCGCGATTCCGAAGGTGGGGCACAACAGGGGACAATCCAATGGTTGATGCTAGACACATTATCACTGCACAGTGCAATATGTAGAGGGAGAAAGACCACATATGATGTTGTGATACATAAAGTTACATATCTCCGTCGGTGCTGCCGGTTCTTGTTTGGATATTGCTGTTGGACAAGCCGAAGAATTTGAAAGGCTATGCTGGGTTTATATTTGGTGGAGGAAGAGAAGCATCAAGCAAAGCTGCATAAGATACATCAAGTCATTATTACCGGTGAAGACTTCGTGGCCCGTTTGAAGGAAGCGGTGTTCATTTCCAACCGACCGGTCGCTTTTTTTTTGCCTTTTTTTACGGGAGGAACCGATCACTAATTGGCCCGAGTCGGTTTCCAATTTCCACATGTTCTCGTTGGCCTTCGCACCACCCGATTCTAGAAATCTTGCCTGCCTGAAACCAAGCTTGGGGGCCGAAAGTCTGATACCATTTCACAAAAAGGTACAAATGAATCTCTCTTTCTCAACAAACAGTCACCCTTACTCGAATCTCCCCATGTGGAAGACATCCTCTCCATCGATGATCCCATATGCATCACGTTGCTTACCAGAGTGCGTAGCTCTGGCGCCTAATATACACTCAAAATTCCCGTCATTTTTGGAGCGTTTTGGAAGGATTCTATCGATGGAGAACTAGATGGAATGAGCCAACGAATTCTCTACGATCGTCATCCTGCCTCTCCAGCCTGCTGAAGAAATATACATTAAAACCTCCGACTCTTTCTTCAAAATGCCCACGACCTTTTGACGGCGCAACTAGTGAACAAGATGAAAAAAAAATGAATTGGATAAAACATAAGACTACAACAGAATGCTTCTCGAGAAAAGAATGAGCCTGAGGAAGAAGACAAATTTGATTATTAGACTGCTCAAAGTCCAGTCAAAGACTTTAGGGAAGACGGAGACTAGAATTTACAAGTCGTCGTGAATCGGTTGGATGCCTATTGGTCAGAGGCCTGCGGTCGAACAACATAGACCTATGACGGCTCCAATAAGTATCCTTTTACCGGCCTAGATGTTCTTTGTCTTCGCTTGGGGGAAGCCTGGTCCCATCAATTTAAAAGGGTCAGGCTACCGGGGGTGGAAAGAGAAGCCAGTCGAGCTCCTTCCTCCCTCCCCCCCAGAAAATCTGAATTATCTCTTCCGGGCCGATCCTTCCATCCCATCTTCCTTTTCTTGTCTTGGTCGATTTCCTTGCCTGCTCTCGGTTCACTTCCGATCTCTTCATTCTTCCTCAACACCATCTACCACCTGCAGTCTCAGCTGCCCATCTTATCCTCTTATTCCCATTCATCATTGCCTTGGGTTTGCGTTTTGTAAACGACACCCTGGCCACTTGATCTTAATCACCCTATACAATAGCTTGAATTATAATACGCTTGTCCTTCCTCGTCAGTCAACCGTTATCTTTCAAATGCAAAACGGTATAGCCCGCCGTCTCAAAAGCTAACGTTTTTTCTTATCCTTCCAAACAACAGATTGCGCCCGAAGCTTTTGCGACTTGGGTAACAAGATATTGCAAGGTAAAATCGTATGATCCCACCAGTCTTTTTTAGCGACCTTCTATTTCTTCCCCGAGGTGCACTTCCCCTTTGCATCTTTCGCATCTCTTCTGGCCCATCAACCAAACGCAATCCCTTCATGATCAGTTACATCTTCTCTCCTATAAGTATAAGTCTTCAAAGCTATTCCAAGGATATACTTTTCGCGCTAGACAGATCTCTACATACCTGTCAAGCTTCCCCGTCACACCCCAATCAGAACTTATGCATTCCCACCAGGGTTATCAGATCTTAAGACTCCTTCGAATCACCTCATATTCTTGCTTCCTCCCTGTCGGCTTCAGCTCCCTAAAATAAGCCCCACACCCACCACCGACCTCCCCCTTTCGTCTGATCTCTCAGCTGTGTTTTTTTTAATATGATGGAAGGCTCAGTCGGGCGCGCGTGCCATATCAAGCGTGTGGATGGAGACTCAGTCAGACCCTATCTGGGTTCTAAAGACATCCCCCCCGTAGTCATCCTTCCTCGCCTCGAGCTTCGAGCTAACGAAAGTCTCATGAAAATTAAAGGTGTCCCGGCCCGGTCGGTGCGATATCTATCATGTTTATCTATGAGAGGAGGAAAGAAGTAATGGTCACACTTCAGAGCTATTCACATCTTGTGTTTGAGCACGTGGAGTCTCTAGCATATTTATTTACATCTTGACAACATGCAGGCTACATCTCAAAATCTCAACGCGGTCACTCTAACCATTCGCACTGTGGTGGCTCTCAACACTATTATTACAAGCCTAAAAAGTTGGTGATCCATCGGGCCCGCCAAGAGCCAAAAAAAAACCTTTTTTAGCGCGATGTGAATCCATTTATTTTAGCTCAGGTTACGTGATATAAGGTGGATGAAAAACCATTGACAAGAAAAAGCGTGTCTTAAGCATGACGATGATGGATGTAGACATCATAAACCGGTGTCGTTCGATTTGAGATTTGTTTACACTCAAAAGGCCTAAAAAATCTCCAGCTACATTCGAAGAAGACACCGAGTCGCTTTCGAAGATATTATTTATAAATATTTGTTTCTTTATGTGTATTTCAAGTTTGTCTTTTTTTGGACCACGTCATTGGTCGATGATGATCTGATAAACCGACGATAATACTGGTTTTAGCTTGTTTCTTTATCGATAGATCATAGAGAGATATATATAAGCGGAGTCCAAGTGCCTATACATTTAGGCAAATTCGCCATATTTTCGGCCCGCTCAGCTACTACTACTACTACTACTAGGCTCTATAACTTGATCTTCCCAATCGCTTTTTTATCGGCTCTTCCCCTTCATAAAACTTCTATCAATCTTCTTACAGCGCTGCGTCTACGCTTCGGTCTTTTGTATTTATTTCCTTCTTTTTTTTTGGAGATCTATCGGGGAAAGAAGAACAAGTCCAAATGCACCGATTGATATCTTCATTGAGACTGTTGCTGAGCAGATGGCCGGCCAAGTCATCTGTAGATTCCTCTTCCCTTAATTTTTTTTTTTTTCAAACCATTTTCCCATTGTTGTTATATATATAGATTACCTTGAATAATTGAGCTGATGAGATTTTGACGATTTGATTTGATTTCTTTTTTTTTTTTTTTTCGTCTTGGCTGCTCGATCAGATGCACCCGGATGAGCACAAAACCATCGACAACAGCGACTTCCTCGAGTCGATCCAAGAGCACGATGCCTTCCGTTCTGGCCGTTCTAGCCGAATGACGGCTCCATCAATCTGTACGGACTCCAGCGTCACTGAGCACTGTTGTTCAGAGGAGTATACCCCAAAAGACTCGGAGGTAAGTTGTCCCCGTATTCCATTGGGCTGGGATGAACTTGTTAGAGTTTTGAGAGTCCCGGTCGAGAACTTCACATGGAGCCATCTGTTTCTGAATGAGTTTGGAGCAGAGTGGTGGCCATTAGCATCGTCGTATTGGGGCTGAGATGCTTCTTTCTTTCCTTCTTTCTTTCTTTCTTTTGTTTCCCTCCCCCCACCCTCGTTGTGATCACACTGGGAATTTACAGCAAAAGGTCAAGAGTCTGGTCGAGAAGCGTTCGAGGTCGATCAAACATTTGCTCTCGGAGAAGCCGGCGAACCGGGCTGGTCAGCCGGTCCGGAACTCGGTCGACAGCAAGATCACTGCCGTTGATTCGCTTGACTCGGTCTCGTCCAGCTGCCGATATCCGCCTGATGCCCAGCTCAAGCCCCAGTCCTTCCAGCATCGCTCGATCTCGCCATTCGCCTTGGACTCCCTCTCTAGCTTCAGCCTCTCCGAGCACCACCCGTACTTTTCTCCGCCCTCCCAACCACCGCCGACTTGCCCCCTACCGCCGCTGCCGGTCAACCCCCCGCCGTCGTCGCTCCCAGCTCGGTCGAGCTCCTCAGCTTCCAATATTAGTCTGTTGCCCCACTCTAGGCCCACGCCTGCTCTCTGCCTGCCCTCTCGTCAACAGCATCACGATCTCCCGCGTCTGCACTCCCAAGTTAGTCTCCAACACGTCCATCCGTGTACTTCCTATCGACAGGCGCTCCAGCCAGTCGACGATAGCTTCTATGATGATGACCCGTTCGCGGCCGAAAGGATCGTGGTGACCGGGCGCCATCCACATCCCTACTCGGGATGGTCTGATGACGAGTCCGTCGACCCGCTAGGCCCGATCCCTCGTCAAAGCAGGCCAAACTCTGTGTACACTGCTGCATCTGAGTCCTGCTATTCCGTCAACACTACGATTGATTCGCGAGTTGTCAGATCATCTATGGGCGGGCTATGTCTTTGCTGCCACCCCGCACGTTCCGGCGCAGGAACCACCTCCTACCTCAAACTCGACGAGTGGCGAGGAAAGTCAAGAAGGAGTGATCACCCCAGCTACCTCTGATGAGAATGAGGACCTGAGTCAAATTGGGAGCCCCCAATTACATCGATTGACTATCGAGGCCCCATCCAGTGCGAGCAAGAATATCCTCTTCAAGCCAACTCCTCCGCCACTTGCGGAGACTTTCAGTTTCGGATTACCGAGTCGATTCGATGGATTCTTCTTCGGATATCATCGACGTCCTGATCAGAAGTACCATTCCGCGCCGGCGATGAGTCTCAAAGTCTCGCCGCCGATCAGCTCGACGGCCTTTAGTCCGGGAGACTCGATCCGATTCAAGATCACCCTGGCCAATCTGTTCGACCATGTGATCGTGAGCTTTGTGGGCGAATCTCGCTTGCTTGGCGAGCCGAAAATCAAGTCCCATCGGTTCCTTAAACATGAAATCGACCTCGATGCTCCCGGGAAATGGGCCTGTTGGGAGGTCCAACGTGGCGTCGATCCAAAGGAATGGCTCGTTCACTTGAAAATACCGAGTCTCTCTAATTGCAATTGTGAAGAAAAATCGGACAAGACTCATTTCGGAGAAGTCGATATACCTTCGAGCACCATCAATAACAAGGTCAGTTCACCAATCCAATTGCCTGAAACCCATTCAATCCAAAAATACTAGATTCTAACACTGAGACGATGTCGTTTTTTTTTTGTAGGTGTTTATTGCTTATCATTTGATCATCAGAGGGATTGGTAAACAGAAGAAGAACGTCGAGAAGGCGTCCAACGCTCTCAAGAAGAAAAAGAAATCCAAGGGTGAAGAAAGGGTCCGCTTAACAGTGATGGTCAAGAAACAAAGATCTGCGGAGCCGGAGCCTGAGAAGATCTGGGTGGCCGGCGACCATAATTACTCTTGTGTTTCCATCGAATGAAAACTCTTGGAACAAACTTGTCTTGGGGTTCTTAGTTTCCTTTTCTTGTTGGGGTTTGTTTTGCCTAGTTTCTTGCAGTCTCCTCCAAAAAAATAAAATATGTTCAGCATACATACAACAAAAATCACTTGTGAAGGCCTTCTTCATCATGTGGACCCTATTATAAATGTTGATCATCAATAATAATACAAATATGCTGTTTCTTTTTTTGTTCTGTTTTTTTTTCTTGGTCTGTTTACCCACCCCTCCCCACAATTGTCTGTTCCTTCTTCCATTTCTAATTTTGTTGGGTTGTCTGTCGTCCTGGGCTCTTGAATGATTCTTTACTGTTTGCGTGTATTTATATCGTTTGAACTCGTTTTTTTCTTTCTTTCTTGCATATTTACATTCATGATCAAATAATCATCAAAAAAAAAGAATGAAATGAAATCTTATAAAAAATCCCAAAGTATTGTTGGGACATTTGAGGTACAGAATAAGCCTGAAGAAGTCTCCCCACAACAACAACTCGTGATGTGTGTTCAAGATGTCAGCCAGTACATACAATCCCATAGTGTCCAAGGTGATTCGAGGTTGAGATGTGTTGGGATCAAATTTTATTTGTTGATCCTCTTATGTACATATCATGTCATGTTAGGCTGATGTAGCTCAGCCTTGGAAGACCCTACATCAAACATGAAGCTCTCATGCCATGGCAACCCAGTTTGAGTTTCCTCTTGTGTTTGTTGCCCCTGATTATCCATCTTGAAGAATGTGCGCATTGGGCTTCCTCCGGGTTTCTCTTCCGTTACTTCGTGGTAATACATGGATGCCCATCTTTGGGGTCGTGTTCGATTGGGGAGATCATTTGCAACGCAGTTTCTGTGCTTGTGGGTTGAAGTGATGATATTTTTGAGGCGCGTTTGAAGCAGAGCAGTCCGATTGGGCTGGCTGCAGGACCAATTCAACTCTGAACCAACAACATCCAACCCCAGACTGACACCCACGAAAAGGACTTGACGAGAACACTACTCATCAGAAAAGTTGACAATGGCCGAGACCGATAGGATCAAGGAACTCGAAGCAATCACCAACGCCCTAGACGAATACCAAGCCAAAAAACTGTTTTCGTTGGAGCTTCGACGCGACTTGATTGGCCAGGAAGCTTCGTTCGACAACTCGCAGGACATCGACGATGACGAGAACCTTCCGGAGAACGTCCATCAGATGGAAGTCGATGGCAAACTGCTGAAGATCTTGGACTACGATTTGAATGCTTATGAGGTACCCCTTTTTCATCTCTCTCGCTCTGGCACGAGCACTCCCTTGATCAAGACACTATCGTTCCTCAACTCACTCATTCTCATCTACTTCATTCAGTCTCACCTGTCCGCAGTCCAATTCAACTGGATCGAGGCTGCCGCAAAGGAAAAGTTCATCGCTAGTACGATCTTGGAGGAAAACGGATTGAGCTGTTCGTCTGACGAGATCCAAAGACTGAGTGAGTTAGAGCATCCAACAATCATTGATCCGAGCCTCACTGCTCCGTGTAAAACAAAAGAAAGAAACTAACACAAGCGCTCTGTAGATGAGACCAACACGGAATACGTTAGCATACTCAAGAATTTACACGCGTCGATCGACCGAGATGAAAGCAAGATCCTAGAGATAGCGCAGGAGCTCGAAGAGCGATACACGAATTCGCAGGCGACCTATAAACTGAACCGCTTACTGACGAACGACATAGCGGATCTAGAGCTGGAGTTAAACGAGCTGAAGATGAACCAGAAGGAGGAAGACGTGGAGCTGATGACGATCAGCGAGGCCACTGAGGCCGCCGGCGATCTCGAACGTCAGCTGATGGAAATGGCCGCAAGACACTCGGAAAACAATCAGGAAATCCCCAGACTGAAGGCCCAGTTCGCTAAGGAAGTCAAGCTCGTCGACCAGCTTAGGGTCGAACGGAACGCGCTCGAGAAGGCCGATGGCGATCGAAGAAGGACTCTGGGTGGACGGACCAAGTCTACTTCGCTTGCCAAATTGGAAGCCGCTCGGGCTTGGTACGCCTTTCCTTCCAATCACTTCAAATTTTCAAAACCCCCAACTGAATCCTTTTTCCATGCTTTCTTTTTTTTTCCCCCACTGATATCAGGTTGAATAATACCACTCAAACTTTCAAGGCCTCGATGGGAATCCTATCGATAGATGTTTCCGGACCCGATCCATTATGTCCCACCAAGCTACAGATCAAGTTCGGCCTTCGACATCCATTAACCGGCACCCTTGTCCTCGACTTCGCCAACTCTCCAGCCCTCGGGACCTTGACAATCTCCTCGGCCTATGTCAGCGAATTCTCTTCATTCTCCTCATCTTCCTCAGCATCCCAAACTCAATCATCGCACTTTTTTGGTGTCTTGATTTTTTTTTCGCGGGGGGGGGGG